TTTTAAGAGGAAATAACCAAGAGAATCGAGTACAATCATCGATAAAAATGGCATAATAGCAAAAATTTTGAGAAGAATTTACAGGAGAAGGTCCCCACAAATCACAACGAATTTTATCTAAAGGAAAAGAAGCAATTTCATTAGATAATCTAAAACTTAGCTTACAACTTTTTCCTTTTTGACACGAAGCACAAATACTAGGTATCTTAGTCCTACTTGAAATATTAATATTTTTGCTAGAGTTTAAAATACATAAGATTTTTTGACTTGGATGACCAAGTCTTTGGTGCCAAAGGTTAGAAGTAGCAGGTGGCGGTCCATGGAGAGCATTTAGAGCTAGTTTGAAATCATCCTCCAAGACATACAATCCACTTCTTTTACTGCCCTTTGACAAAACCATTTTTTTCCTGATTCTTAACAACAAAATTATTGTCAGTAAACTCAACAGAACACTTATTATCCGAAGTTAATTGATTAATAGATAAAAGATTTTTTCTTAATTCAGGAACTACAAGGACTTTGTTTAGTTTCAAATGACCATGTTTAGAGTTTAAGGAGATATTACCAACATGAGAGATATGAAGACCTTGTCCATTTCTGACAAATACTTTATCTCGACCTCTGTAAGTAGAAATATTTTCTAATTTACTCGGGTTTTTTGTCATATGCGAAGTCGCTCCGATAAAAAATTTTGGTCATTTGGATCCTCGATGTTCATAGCAGTGAGAGCTTGAGTAGTGTTGTCCTCAATATAGTCATATCTGTCCCAACAATCTTTGGCAATGTGGTTTCTCTCACCGCATATTTGACAAATAACAGGCTCTGTTTGAATCTCTTGTTTTTGATTTTCAACATTTTGCATCTGAAAATTCGGATAGTGCTGGTTATTGTAGACCTTGCTTTGGTTGTGGAAGAAGTTTTGTCTTCCTCCATTGTTTTGCTGAAATCTTCTTCAGCGAGATCCAAAACGATTTCCACGTTGATTTTGACCCCTTCCTCTTTGACTGAAGAAAGCTTGGTGATGATCAATATGTGATTTTTCTTCTTCTTTTTGAGCAATAATAGTTTGTTCATGACCTTGTAAGGCAAGAATAAACTGATTGAAGCTTGGTAAAGGTGGCTTGGCCAACATTGTAGTTTTGAAGTCAGCATATTTAGGTCCAAGAGCACGAGCAATTTGAAACATTTTGTCCTCATTAGAAATTGGTCTTCCAATGGCTACGGGCTATCACAAATGCATTTGAAACGCTTGAGGAAATTTTCTAATAACAAAGATCCCTTCTTCATCGAGTAGAGGCTGTCCTTAAGCCAAGATTCCTTCTCTTTAGTTGCAGGAAGAATTTGTTCTTCAACAGCAAGCCAGACCTGTCGAGAGGTGCTTCCCCCGATTGCTATGCTTACTACATCTTTTGTCATCATTCCCATAAGAAGCCATTAGCAATCCATTGTTGTTTGTCCAAGAAACAAACTTTGGATTCATAACCTCCTTGTCATCATTTTCTTTAATTAGTTTTGATGGAATCACAGCATCTTCAACAATATGATGTTCTAGTCTAAGACTTTTAATTAGGGGAAGAACTTGAGATTTCCAAAGCAAATAATTTGCAGTATTGAGTTTGGTAGAGATGAGGCTGGCACATTGGTGGAAGTTTTGAATGGTAAGTTTATGCTCAAATGTTTCAGTCATGGTGGCTCTGATACCATAAAGAAAACAGAAAGCAGAAAAAGATAAGCTGGAAATTATTATTTTCCCTTTCTGTTTTTTTTTTTGGCTATAACATCTCTAGAATTTATACAAGCAAGTAGCGGCAATATGGTATTGAAAAACAGCAAGATTGACAAGTGAAAAATATTAACTATTCATTGAAAGTTGGGAATTTGAACAGACAAACTAGTGTGCTAGCCATTGAGAGGAGCAGAATATTTAAACTGATGCCAATGAATAAAGACAATTAAAGAGGTTTAACTAATTTCTTGAAATGAATTTCTGGTCATTATTCTTATCAAACACTTCCTCATATTAGTTTGATCAAGAGCTCTAGCCTTGATTGCTGCTTCTTTAAATTTATCTAATACGGTTTCGAATTTCTTTTCTATAGTTTCAAGTTCAATTTTTGGTGGTGTTGACCTTAAAAAATGGCCAACAGATGTCATTGGTAGACCGTGTACACATGGACGCATTTTGCAATTTATCAACTATAAATACGTATATTTGTGGAAATAGGAAAAGATAAATAGTAGACAATTTTGTATATATTATGCTCTCTTTTCTTGGTTCAAAGGTTCACCCCTTGAAATGATACAAGAATAATTTATTTATAGTGATCAGGCCAACGTGGTCACCGTTGTCTCGATCCACGTAGCATAATCTACTAGCCCCTGGCATCATATCAACTCTATATCACGTTAATTATATTGATAGACTTTTGACAATATATCAGTCACGCTATAATCTTAGGCCGACATCCCTGACACCTATTAAATGGGAACGTCGCATCAATAAGCTCCACCTCGAATATTTCTAGTGAAACAACCTCGGCTTTTAATGCAACCTCGGATGTTGACTCCTGTGACTTCTTGTTTCTGTTGATCGAATGCCACATATATGAACATGGGACTTCTACATGGACCTCATTGAGAGCATTGTTTATGATTAGTAACGGATGGCTTTCATTTTCTTCTAGCTTCTTAAGTCCCTAGCATTTTCACTTTCCAACCTTCATTTCACGAGAAGCACCTATTTTAGAAGCGTAGCTTCAAGCTCAAACATGGCTTTTTGAGCTTCACTTGCAAATTACCAAGATGGACTTGCTTCTTATGATGTTCTTTTCAATATGTTTCAATTCTAATATATGGATCTTTGTTAGGTTTTCTCAAGGCTCGTGGACTTGTACTTTTGTAGAAGAATTTACTTCATATCACCTTTCCCTAAAAGCTTTTCTAATTCGACAAAATACTTTGAGAAAATTATATAAATATGTTCAAAATCAGTTTCTTAATCTCAAAAATAACGTTCGACTTTCTAAGTCTTGCTAAACGCCCCTCAATTAGTTCTCTTCTTTGGTTACTTTAATTAGCGATTTTTTCTCAACATCCAACTTTGAAATCACATTCCTCATATAATCAAGATCAAAATGACCTTGCAACAAACAATCATTTATTCTTCTAATGCCATCATAGTTCTTCGTTTGTTTAACTAACAAAAAGCAGCTTTAGCTACCCCTCCACAGTGGGGGGAAAATGGTAGACAGAGTAAGTACAAAATCATTAAGGACAAAGGATTGACGAAAAAAAAAAAAAAACCAAAAAAACAAAATGAGTTTGATCATATTTTGATAAATTGATCTCCTAAACACCAACTAAGCACCCTCACCACATATTGTAGTATTCCGTGTCATCCGAGTGTTTAACATAAACTAAATATCGATGTTAAGAAGATCAATTCTGCAATTTTAAAATAAACAAAATGATAACTTTGCAATTTTTTTTCAATAAAACAATTAAATAAAAAGGAAAAAAACAATATTTCTTCATCGTTCCCCACCCCAACCCAACCAAATTTCACCTAAATCTCCCACCTAGCCATCGCCAACTCGGTTCGAACAGACAAAATTTTCCTATTTTTTTTATGTACCAATATACATTTCATCGTTTTAAATGAGATTTATATCTACTTTTTGAAAAGTTATTAAACTTCACTTTCTTATTTTTTTATTGTTTTATTGCTTTCATTTATTTATTTTTATTTAAAGAAAAGTGCAAATTCATCATTTATCGACCAAAATTGAAGGAACTATGCGTTTTGCTAAAATTGGAAGGTTGGGAGATAATTATGATAAGAAAAAGGTGAAGGGTAGATTTGTTATAATTTGCTAAAGTTGGGGCAAAAAGTTCAAATGTCGCTTAAATCCACTCTAATGTAGAAATTTTGGAACGTACGTGGTGGTTTCTTATTGGTTACTACACGTAAACGCGACCACCTCAACCTTCGTGCTCTTGTCGCGAACCAAGACAATTCTAGTCTACCAAGTTACAAGCGAAGTTATAAAACTCGCAGATTCCCGTACGATAAAATTTAGAAGGGGGGAAAATCTGTTTAGTTTTGTATAATTTTGTTCTTTGGGAAATAAATAAAGGTAAGAAAAATTCGTTCTTTTTTTCCCTTTTTTTTGTAATTTTTTGTTTGTTATTGTTCGAAATAATGGATTTTCCCCCGATTGGGCTTCAGATGAGGCTTTTGATTGCGGCGGTGGCTGCGGTAGCAATCATGGCGAGTATCGGGGGGGCCTTCGGTATCAGATTTGTAATAGACAGAGAAGAATGCTTCTCGCACAAGGTGGAATACGGGGACACTGTTCATTTTTCGTTTGTGGTGATTAAGTCTGAGGGCTCTTGGCATTACAATGAAGATGGCGTTGACCTTGTGGTAAAATTTCTTTTAACATGCCACTCTAAATCTGTAATTTTCGTCAGCTAATTTTGTTGATTGCAGTTTCCTTAATTTTTGGGTAGATTTTTTCTTTCTGCTTAGCAGGTGCTGTAATTGATTTGTGTTTTGATGCATTTGTTGTATCTTTGTTTGGAATGAATTATTAATCTAATTTAAGGGCCTGTTTGGTATAAATTTTTTGAGAATAGATTTTCGTAAAAAGTGACTTTTTTTTAGATTGCCTGGTTAAGTTTGAGGTTCAGGTGCAAACTTATTTTATTGGGAGAATACGTGGCTAAAAATGAGTTTTAACATATGAATTGCCGGCCGGAATCGTGCCAACTGTGCAAAAAGATATATGTCATATGCAATATAAATGAATTATTATAGTTTTAGTTTATACTTTGATGTGTTTGCTAGTATTAGGGATGCATTTTTCTAGGAAGGAGAAAAATATAGAGAAATAGTTCCTTTAGTTAGACAATTGTATTCATCCAACTACTATTCTATTTGAATTTGGAACGAACAAGATGGTTGTCTTTATAGAGAGCATTGTATTACCAAGGCTTCTTCGTATTATGAAATTGTTCATTTGTAAAAGGATATACTATTCGTAGAACAGATTGCTAGCGAACATAACTCAAGCATCGCAATTGCTCAAATGTTTGTGAATATAAGCTCCCGTTTGGCCCCATTCTTTTCAAATTTTAACGGTTGGAATAGTATTTTTTTGAAAATTGTGTGGTTGAAAAAGAATGGAAAGTTTTCGATTTTTGTATAACATTATTTTATGGAAGACTGTGTGATTAAAAATAAGAGAGAAAAAGAATGAGAAAGAGAATGGAAGCCAAACGGGGCTAAGATTGTTTCTTAGATGAAGATCCAAGACTTCAGCAATACGATTCTTCCTTTTGTGTGTCACTATCCTTAGTTATGGATAGATCTTTCCTGGTTCTAGAAAATACTAGCTGCAAATAGAGAACTTGGGACTAATAACTAGAAAAAAAATGCACTTGTTATACCTGTTCCTGTGCTTGGCGAGAAATAAGCATCAACTTAGCTAGTGTCCACAAATAGATATACATACCTTTTTAATCAAATCCCTCCTTTGTCCATGAGGGAATAAAATATTATATGCTTACCATTCTCTAAAAGGTAGTTCGTGCAGCATGGTTGTACAGATCATGTATGAAAGTATTGTGCTTGTGGGATTTTTACTAAATATTTTGGTTCAATTGCTGTATTGGACTGCTGATAGCAACCGTCCAATTTTAATCAAATTATCAGGTTAAGGGACCAAATGGGGAACAGATCCATGATGTCCGTGATAAGATAAGTGAAAAGCGTGACATTTTGGCTTATCATCAAGGAGTTTATCGTTTTTGTTTCGCTAACAAGTCACCCTATCATGAAACCATAGACTTTGATGTGCATGCTGGCCACTTTGCATTCCAAGATGAGCATGCTAAAGATGGTAAGCATGTTTCTCTGTTTTCCTTAAGTCTGTCTCTGATGAAACCTTTTAGAATATTAAACATAGCGTGTTTTGTTCTACATCTGGCAGAGCATTTCAAACCTCTCTTTGAACATATTGGGAAGCTCGAGGAAGCTTTGTATAATATTCAGTTTGAGCAACATTGGCTCGAGGCTCAGACTGATCGTCAGGCAATAGGTATTTGTTCAACTTTTTCTGTTCGTTATATAATATTTGGTCACTTGTACCATTTTATACTTCTCTCGATAACTTCTTACGAGTGGGTTACATCTTTTATTGTTTCCCTTTATGAGCCTATTAGCAATAACTTCATACATCCTTGTTCTTAGTACATTTAACGGCTGATTTAGATACTTACTGGGTGTCCTCAACTAAGATATTGATGGATTTTAAAATATTATAAATGAATTTCGTGGATTTGAATAGATTTCCACAAATTCCATAAGAATTTCATCAAATAATATGAAATTTGAAAAGATTTGGTTATTTATATTTTGAAGCTTGAAATCTATCCAAATCTTTTAAAATCTTTCTATTAATGAAATCTTTATAATTCCACTCGTTATTGAGGATGCCTAAATTTCAAAAGATTTCATTGAATTTTATTAAAATCATAGTTGAGAATACCTAAATTTTAATGAATTTCATTAAAATCTCAATTCAGGATACCTAAATTTAGAAGGATTTTTAAAATCCGTCACAATCTTAATTCGGTGTAAAAACTGGTTTCCTATACATTTTATCATCCACCAGAGTCACTAACATTCCATTTTATTTCCTTACATATCAAATTGTAGAAATAGTCTAATAATTTCTTGCAATATTAGTTTAAGCCTTTAGGGAGAAAACAGAGAGACCTGAGTGGGATAAATGTTCTTAGAATTTCTAGCTCAAGTTGTTCTCTATTAGAAATTTATTTCTTCCCTTACTTTCTTTATGTGTGTGAATTTTTTCAAATCTGTGACAGCCTTGTGGATAGGCTACATTTCATGTCCTAACTACATTTATGTTATTCAAACTGCAGTGAATGAAGGAATGAGCAGAAGAGCTATCCACAAAGCTATTTATGAATCAATTGCTCTCATTGGGGCCTCTGTTTTGCAAGTCTACATCTTGCGTCGTTTGTTTGAGCGAAAACTCGGGGCATCTAGAGTTTAGGTTTGGCTCACTAGGGTATTCATCAACGGTCGGTGAAATTCTGGGTTTTTGATTTACATTTCTCAGTACCCCAAATGTAACATTATCACATAAAGGGCACTTCTCTAACTTATTTTCGACTTCGATCACAATTTTTCTAAGCTTGTCTATGTGGGTTGCAGACATAATACATCAACCAAAGACACTTGATGGAAAGACCCTATGATGGGCAAGAATTGTAGTCTGAAGAAGTGTATAATAGACATGAATCAAGTCTTCATCGCTCCCCAACCCCAACCCTAACCCTCTCCAAACTAAATAAGTTCTGGTTTACACATTCCAAAGAAAGCCGAACTGTTCGACCAGGAATTGTAGGTG